GGACGCACCGAGCCAGTAACACATCAATTAAACTAGCCTACTATCATCTACTAACAAAGTTAAGTCTACTCCTAAGGCGTATGGTGAAAATTAACGCACATGGTGAAAAGTAGGAACTTAACCGGCCCCCTTGTCCATAGCTATAAAAAAGGGCGCACGGAGCAAGTAACAAATCAATTAAACTAGCCTACTATCATCTACAAACAAAGTTAAGTCTACTCCTAAGGCGTTTGGTGAAAATTAACGCACATGGTGAAAAGTAGAGACTTAACCGGCTCCACTTGTCCATAGCTATGAACAGGGCGCACCGATGCTCAAAGATACCAAACAAACCAGCCTACTTTCATCTACTATCGGAGTAGAGACGTGCTAAAGTGTGGGTATGTTGCAAGGACGCACTGGGCTTGTTGTTGGATGTTGGCCGGCCCCACAACACTGGCATTTCGATTATATACTACCAGAATTGTTTCGTTTCGAGTTGGTTTGGTGCCTACTTACATCTACTAACGAAGATTGATCGACTTGTATGAGAGTTGGCGTTATGAAGGCACTAGAAGTGGCATTGGGTCGGGCTAACTTCCGGTGAAGTTTGCCGGCCCCAAACATAGTTGTAAAACATGGGTCCGGCTGGTGTGTAGGACTGAAATTTTATGCCTACTTACATCTACTAACGATATACTAACGATGTAAGGGGTCAGCAGTTCCAGGTTTTCTTTTGGGCCGGTCTACTTCACTTAGCTACCGCATTCCTGGTCAGTAATTTTTGTAATGAAGGTATTTCTTTATATTAGTGTGCTACTTGTATTACATCTTTATGGTGTGTTTGTGAAAGGATGTTGTTGGTGCCCTTTGGGAAAAATTTGTTTTAAACGCTCAAGCTGATGCCGAAGAATTTTTGATTTTCCTTCTTGGTTTTCTTCATGAAGACTTACAGGTAACTTCTATTTGACATTTCTGAATCAAAATGTAATGCTTCTATTGTAGAAGGATACACACTAACTGGATTTGTATCTTTTATTTGTACAAACTTGAGCAATCAAAATTTTTGCACACATTTCTGTGTTGATTTGAACGCTTTTGTGCATTCATTTGTTGAAAATCATATGCACTTTGTTGTACAAATTTGTGCAAAACGAAACATAGGTTTAACTTAGTTCAAACATTTGCACAAAAATTTACAAATAATTTAGTGTGTACATATTCTATTCTCTTCAGACAGGAATTGGAGAGACAACAAACAGCCCTCCTAATAATGTTATTACTGCATGGAGCAGAGTACCAATTTCTTTGATCTCACATCTCACTTACCTGCAGACAGTGAACTATGTGAGCTGCAAGAACTGCCCATATGTAAGTGTTGCAGTAGAGGACCCCACCAACCACCTCAGCCTTGCAGTAGGTCACCACACTCTAATGGTTAGTATACTACTGTTAGTTATATAAGGAGATGTTTCACTAAAATTTGTCTTATTTATAGGAAAATGCATTATCATTGGCTGGTCGTTTTTTTCAAATTGTTTCATACTTAGCAGACTTTTGTTCACTCAGACCTGCTTTCTTTGAAGTTGTGATTCTGTCAAGCAGGGCTGCCTGGAGTTATTCTCAAAGATAGAAATACCAGCCAACAGCAAATGTCCTGGGTGTGGAGGTCATGAAACACTACTGCTCCAGGCAAAATTAGGCAGACTCCCACCTCTCCTAATTATTCATCTAAAGAGGTCAGTTCAATCAATTAATCAATTCTCATTTGTATCATTTTGTTGTTTTTTTTTTTAGCTTTAAAAAGGATTTATGAATACACAACATTATTGCTGGTTTCTATAGGTTCACACAATTGCCAGGAATGAGATTTGCCAAAAATGATTCTGAAGTTTCGTTTGACTTAGAATTAGACCTAGGTAACTTTGTGGTAGGGGACTTGCAGTCAAATACGAAATACAAACTGATAGGCATTGTTAACCATTCAGGTAGTTTAGAAGGTGGCCATTACACTGCCCTTTGCAGGAGAAATAACAGGTAATAATTAATATTTCTCATCTGCAGATTCAAAAATAACTAGTAGAATGCAAATGCATTTTTGGCTGAGTTCGTTTACATATGTAGTCATTGCTCGTTTCATTTATCAATGATTTTATTATTTTCAATTAAATTTGTTACTTTTCTTAGCCTTGCTTGAAGCCTAGCAGCAACCCGTTTCACAAAATTTAATGGACCTGAAACTTGGCTTTCTCAGATAGCATAGTACAGTACAATACATTTTAGTATAGTTTGAACTCAGCCAGAAAGAATTTCTTCATGTTAAAATTATAAGGTTGTTCTTAAACATTATGTTTAATGTTCAGGTGGTACAAGTTTGATGATGCTGTTGTAAGTTCTGTTTCCACCAAAAGAATGGTTTCAAGAAGTGCCTACCTTCTTTGGTTTGAGCATATAACAGATGTGGCATCAGAGAAATTTCTGCCATTTGACTTCACCTCTGTTTCGGAATCTCTATTTCCACCCCTGGCTGGCACTGGCAACATGTTCAGTCCAACAGATAGCAGTTTAATCAATCTAGAGACAGATTTAGAGATGGACATAGAAAATAATAATGTAGAAGATATTATGTTTTCTCCACCACACACCAATCAAGAGACAGATTTAGAGATGAACATAGAAAATACGAATGTCGAAGATATTCAGTTTTCCCCACTTCAAAGACCTATGCTTAGTGAAACTAATAGTGTTCGTGTTACTTTTTTTTAGAGAATGTGTGTATCAGTAGTCCAGTTCTTATTCAGCTGATATGTCTTATTTAATGTTTTTTGGTTTCAGTTTCAGAACAGTAAGCCTTGTTTGGATTCTGTTTCACCTCTCACCTCGTCAATAAATGAAATTTCACCTCAAACATCAAGGAAGGCACCCATTAATGGTTCTAAAAGTGTAAGCCAAAGGCTAAAATGTGTACCCTGTGGTGGCACGAGAAGTCTTAAGTTGAAAATTGTTGCTGAGCAGCCTTCACAAGACAAAAAGGTTGTTGCCATTGTAAGTCTGTTATTTTACAAAAATCTTATATTGAATTGTTTGGAAAAGAAAAACGAAAAGAGTTTTACTCATAGCTTACTTTTTTTTCAGCCTCATAAGTGTGCACATCAGCAGTTTGACTTCGCAACATGTGACCCTATTCTCACAGAATATGAAGTCATGGGAGCAGCTCTAGATATTAGTAATTTAGAAAAATATAATGTGCAGGAGCTTAAGAGATTGCTTGAGTGTCGTGGGTTACCAAGAAAAGGAAACCGGGATGAAATTTTAAAAAAGTAAGTTCACTGGTAAAACAAATGTAGAAAGTTGCACACCAAATGATGTGTTTCAAGAATGCAAACACTTAACACTTGATGTCAAACTGAACTAGACGTCAATTGGTATGCAAACATCTGACGTTTTGATTACTTGTGTTCAATATTTGCCCACTACAAAGTGTGCATTTCAGTTAAACACCATGTAATTTGTAAAATTAAGAGTTGCACACTTAGTTGTGTAATATTTGCACACTTGTTTTACAAGTGTGGAAATAACACACAGGCATGCTATGTTGTATAAAACCCAAGTAATAATTTGTTTTGAATTTCCCTGTAGAATTCAAGATCATGTAAACCAGGGCAAGGGACAAAAATTGGATCCGAAAGTGGATGGGGGAATTTGGCATGAAGAAAAAAGAAGGAAATTAGCATTGGAGGTAAAATCTGCTAAGTGCTACAAAATCTGTACAATGCAGTTCTATCAGAATACTCATGTGATCTTTGTTTTCAGAATCCTCAGCACCCACAAGGGCGTTTGCCTGTATTTCCAGTGGGGTTCAAGGTTTGGTCACCCTTCCCGAGTATTCACATACCAAATAAATTTTCATATGAAAAGATTGAAGAGTACCTGACCAATATTCCCCAAGTTGTGTTCAGTGTTTCATCTGGATTAAGAGAATTGGCAGAGATTGATATTCCATCTGACGATGAAATATTTGACTCAACTTTGCCTACCCTAGAAGACAAGAGGAGAAAATACCTTCTGAATACCATAGGGCGTGGGCAATTATTTCTTGACAGTGGGAGGATTATGAATGTTTTTGATTTTCAAATGGATGATCATTATTTGCTGAAAGGATTGGTCCATGCATCATTAACAAACAAAGTGTATATCACACTGATAACATTGGCAAAAAACCATGGGGACATATGCCATGCAACTTGCACCTGTAAGGCCAACGCTCTTGGTAGATGCTGTCACATTGCTGCAGTTCTGTTGCTCCTTCATCGTCATATTCAGCAATTCGGCACAGAAGGTATGTCACAGTATACAATTAAAACATTATTAAAATAAAAATAATATGGTCGATTTTCATACAAGCTATTTATTCTTGGTCAAAATTTATAAAAGGGGCATTAAAATTGACAAGATGTGCACACACTTTCACAATGTCTGAATAATAGGGTAACATTTGATTGTTTGGAATAGTGCATCTTAGTAGCTTGAACTGCTTTACCCTACCTATGAAAGTTTCTACATGAATCCTTGCTGATGCAATAATTTTTGAACCAAGTAACTCTCTTGCTGTAAATTCACTGCGCGTTCCAAGAAATGCAGGTATAATTAGATCCACACCTCGATCATTTAAAATGTCCTCTGCATCAAATCCTCTGTCTGCCATCACACTGTCACCTTGAATTAAAAATTGTAATATTCCACTTTTCAGCAACAACTTCCTATCTGAGATGCTCCCCTCAAATCCTTCACTTATGAAGGAGAGTCCACCATAGCAGGAAATCCCAATTAGGAATTTCATTGTATTTGCAGCCTTGTAATTGGAGTAGGTGTTACCCTGCTGTTGCAAATTTCTGGGTCTCTGGATCTTCATTTCTGTAGCATCAATAATTACTCTCAAATTGGGAAAGGGGGAAAAACATTTAGGTTTGTTGATGTTCTGCACTTCAGCACTAACAAAAATGTGGTCATCAAGTCTTGAGAATTGGATGCTCATGAGTCGGATCCATGCATAGAATACTTTACATGCCCATTCTTTTTTAATAGAGAACAGTTCACTTAGGTCCTTTAAAGCGATTCCTCTTCTTAGTCTCAATAAAGTCATCAACAACTTGTCTTGTGCTGTGAACTTTACCCATTGAAACCTCTTAGGAGTTTTTTGATTATATTTATATTTGAGACTATTAAGAACTTCTTCCCCTCCCAAAAAATCAAAAATCACGTTGAAAACAGTTTTTGTTACTCCTGTGTAAAATTGAAATTCGCGCTCAGGTAGTAACATGAACTTATCATAGCTCAAGAAGCTCCTGTTACACTGGATTCCAATAGATCTCATAATTCGCTGCCCCCCCACTCCATCCTGTAACAACAGAAAATACATCATCATCATTATTATTGTTTTTTATTATATTGATCTAGTTTTGTGAAAATGACAGGAATGTGTTATAACAATTATTACAAAAAAATTCATTTCTGTTTTGCAGCCACAACTTGCACAGGACAAAAATGCTATTGGATTGGAGGCGGAGGTTCCAATCAAAATGATCCAGGCATCGTTCGTGAGAAGCCAGCTTATTACACAAAATTCAACTTTGAAAGACGTGGACACTTCAACCCTTTGCCATCAGCGTGCCAGAATGCCTCTCCAGAAGAACAACAAAAAGTATTGGCAAATTTTGCCAATGCTATTTTAAGATTACCCATCAGATCTCTGTATGACTACCACCTGTTTCTACAGGTTGACAATGAGTCATTTCCTGATAAAGACACCACTTCAGTTGTTGGTAAATTCTGTAGTTATATTATGTGGAACCTAAATACCATAAGACACTCTGCTGATGGCAAGCCAATTGAGATACCACGTACAAGAGGCCAGTACCTTAGTGCATTTTGGCAATCTGAGCGTGCCTTGAGAGTTCCTGCCTCTAAAGCAAGGTCATTTCTTGGGCTCAGCTCCGACAGTGCTAAAATTAACTATTTGAGGAGGCAAATGTGGGGCTTCAAGGGTTACACTTCGAAAGCAATGTCCAAAGGAATTGAAAATGAAGCTATAGCAAGAAAAAAGTATGCGAGTGAATTTATGTGTCCGGGCTCAACATTAATGTATGATATAGGATCCTTTGTCAATCCAAACTATCCTCAGCTTATTTGTAGCCCAGACGGACTTGTGCTTAGTGATACTGAGATAATGTTGTTTGAAGCAAAGTATTGCAGCATTTTGAAAGGGGCCGACCCAAAGGATTTTCAGTCAGTTCTTACTGCAACTCAGAGGAGCAACTTCTATTTAAAGTGTAATGAAAATGGAGATTTGGCACTGAAGGAAAGCCATCCTTACTATTACCAAGTTCAAATGTCACTTGACATTCTCCGTTTCACTAGCTGTGCTTTTGTTGTTCTGTCTGGTGAAAGAAAACCAGAAGACCCAGAGTATGAAGATTTAAATGAATGGGAAATGGCTGTTATTACTGTGACCTATGATGAGACGTTTTGGAGAGAGAAGAGAGAAAGAATTATTCAAAAACATAGGCAACTCATTCTTCCAGAGTACTTTCTTTACCGAACCGTGTCAAATCTTCCCCCTCGTGAATTTATTTATACTGAATTTCATGAAGATGAAAATGACCCTTACTTCCAGGATGGTTGTTTGCCTCGGTGTATCTACCTCCACTTGCTTAACAAAAATCTAGAATTATTATGGAAGCTAGAGTCCTAGTTTGCACTGTTTTCTGTAAGATAAAATTGTTCTGTTCTATCCATCAAGTTTAGTTTTAACCAGTTTGAACTAATAAAATATTTATTTGATGTTACTTTAATCTTTGCAATAAATATAATATTTGCTTAATGCTCTATGGATATTCAACATTTCAATTATATTGACCTGGTGCCTATGCTTACTGTTTGTCGTGTTGTTCATGTAACTAATTAAAAAGAGAACAAATAGAGGGAAAAGTATTTACCTGTTTGACTTTTTTTTAAATTAAAACATTTACCTGCTCAAAGAAAACTCCTTTCTCTTCTGGTGAACTTGAACCATCAGGATCATCAGGATCATGCTGATCAGAATGCTGATCAGAATGGTGATAAGAGGAAGCAGGAGTGAGGGGTACAATTTTTGGTTTGGTACCTACTCTGTTGCCAAAATTCTGGAATGTAAAGGAATGTAAAACTTCATGTAAATTTTGCCTCATCTAGCTTTCTTTACCACCATATATTATGATTCAGAAAAACGACTCTTACCAAAAAGGTGTTTAAACTCATTTTAGATTTCTTTTGAGAAGAAATGATCTTCCACATTCTGGCTTTGGGTGTGTAAGACACTTTACTCCCAAAGATGTAGTTGACCTACAATACAATATGTGAACTTCAAAATATATATGCAGTGAAAACAACAAACTTCGTCAAACATGCAGAGCCATGTACTCTTAATTATATGCTAACACACATGTCTTATCACCTTAGTTGTGCTAGGAGTGCGCTCCTGCTGATCTACCCTATTAATTAACGGAGTCTGATCCTTGGTGGACAAATAAAATGTCCAAACAATATTATGCATTTGATAAGTTCACTGTTAGAAGCACAAGGGTAGGCTAAAACGTACAAATACTTACAAGTGAGAGCAAGCCCTCCACAACACTCTTTGTTGAGGGAGAAAGGTCATCCATATGTGACTTTTTTGCTGGTGGTCCATCAAGAAGTGCAAATTGGTCCTGAATTAGTGCATAAGAATAATATATTTAAATAATTGCGTGTACAATAACAAACAACAAAATGATGCACTCATAACTGTATTTGTATGTTTGTGTGCATACGTTTGTTTGTTATGGACAAATTTGTGGGCCAAAATGCAAGATTTAGGACAAATAAATGCACAATTTTTCATAAATTAACCCATAAATTTGCGCAAAAAACTAGATTGCTTAACTGTGTATGATAAATAAGAGATACAAATCCTGTTATTGTGTGAACTCACAAGAGAGAGCATTCCCTCAACAACGGTTCTTGTTACTGGAGTAAGATTTTGTAAGCATTTCTCCTTTCCACCATTAGAAAATTCATCATCAGTATCTTCCTAAAATAAACAAAACAATATCATCAGCCCCTTCTCTGGTAAAAATATTATCACCTCAAAAACATTCTTTTAAAAATGTTCACACATTCTTTTGTCGTTTATTATTAGTTTCAGTTGTGTAAAATGTTTCAAATGAGTCATTTGATAAAAATCATTTGCACTTACATCGTCATACTCCTCTATGAATTTGATAGGAGGGTCACCTCGCCTGCTTCCAAATTGAAAATGACATGAACACATGTACTTGTATGGGGTAAGACGTTTCGGTGTCAGATCTGTAATGCCACCGTGGGTTAACCACTGTTGGGCTTCAATTTTATTTTTGGGAAATGTTCTAAATTTACATCTGTGTGTAGCCCGCGTATGGGTACAGTTTCTGTACAAGCATATTTTAATTTTTCTCATTTCTCCCTAATATTTGTAGATTTAAAACTGTAGTCACAGGTTACAATAATCTGCACAAGGTCGTTTTGCCAGCGAAAACATAACATCTGTGGAGCTGTCTGCTTTGTTTAGGGACGGCACTACGCCACGCCACCCCCCCAGTGCTACCTTCTTCTTGTTCCTCTTATCGGGCAACTTCCTCATATCGCGCTCGCGTTTAACTTTCAAAGCATCTTCTATGTCCCATAATGG